TGGCTTTAAGTGCAGGAACCAAAATGCTGGTGTGGGAGAAGAGCTGTTGCAATGCAGTTTGAAGGTTAAACATCAAGGTATCTTTGAAATGACAGAAGTGGTGGAGGAATGTTCTCCTGAGATTTGTGAGCTCGATTTTCTCTTCTAGCACAAAAGAATCCGCACCCAGACTTCCCTTGGCTTATTCTCCAACTCAGCACTGATCTTTTTGGGATCATGCCTTGTTTTTCAGCAATCTTCAAATTTGACATTGAATCTTAATCCACAAAGGGCACAAATCTTGGATGCCACAGGTGTTTTCAAGATGGATAGTAAATAGCCAGAATTCCACACTGTTTTTCTCATCACCCACTTGAACATCCAAGGGCAGAGAACTGAATATTGCAAGTAATTACCAGTGTGTTCTACAGTGAAATTTCCATCAGTTAAAATGAGGTTTTTATCTATTTTTTTGGTAGTGAAATGGGAAATTCACTTGCTCTGAGCAAACTGAACATATGTTTATCCCATGTGAGAATCTGCTATTAGCGCCCACAAGGCTCTAGTTTACACAACATCTATTTTCTTTTTCAGTGGGTAATGAAAGAAGTGTCAGAGACACCCAGGCTCTTCTTTAGTCTCACAGACAGTTATTTCAAGAACCTGGGAGCAAAGGCCATCTCCATTCCTCTTGACAGATTCACAATGTTGTGCAAGAAAAATAATCAAACTTTTACATATTTATTTTAAAATTGGTGTTAAATCCCCTTCAAAAAGCCAAAAATAATGCAGAAGGGAAGAGCTTTCTTATTTTTTTTTTCTCCTGTTTATTGAATGTCTCATTATAAGAAGAGGAAAGTCTTCTGTTGGATTTTGCAGTAAGGTTTTGGCCAACAATGTTAATTGCTGCTTTTAATAAAACAAATTGCCTTGGGCTGGAGCTGAATCTCATAAGCCACTTGAGTGAAGATTAACTTTTTGTCCTTCCTCTTTTGTGAAGCTGTCAGGAAAGTGTCACTTTTGTTTTTTACTGTTTTTTTCCTCTCTTAAAGTGTTGCACACATCCCTGCTCAGCATCCTTCAGAGCTGCTTCCCGACTCCATTTCCCTGTTCCAGTGCAAGGGGCGAGGACATTCTGTCTGCATTTGAAGCAAATTGCTCTCAAGATTCACACCCCAAGTACAGAATCCTTTGTCATTTCCAAACCAGAGACAGCAGTGTTTGATGAGCTGATATTAGGAACTGCTAACAGCTCAACAGGCTGATGCCACTGTCGTACAGCCTGTGAAATCTTCTCACATGCCAGCATTTGCTTTTTTAAAGGTCCTTCCTACACAGTGGCACAGACTTCTTCAGGCTTTTCACTCAGTGATCTGTTGTAAGCTAATAGGAACAAAACAAGGATGGGAAGTTGTGCAGCAGAGGTGCAGAGAGGCTCACAGGCAGGGCAGCTGTCAGAGGGATTACAGCCACTGTTCACAGGGAAACTTCCCCAGAGTGATCAGATTTGGACCATTGAACAACTGTGACATCCAAGAGAGTGCTGCTAAAATCCCACTGCTGTTGTCATGCCTAATATCGGGGAGGTGATGACCCAACACTGCTCTTACACTGATTTTTATTTTTTTTGCCCAGGGAAAAAGATACTTCAAGCAATCCAAGCTTTTTTTTGTATGCATGTTTGCAGTGTTGACTTAAATCCCACAATTTAAATCACAATTAATGAATCTTAAGGCATTAATCTGTAGAATTGAAATACTATGTCATTTAATATAGCAGGAAGGAGCATTTGTAACCCTTGTGAATTTTAAAGATCCAAAATCTGGGAACACAATCTAGACATCCAAACACTACAGAGCAGGAGGTTCTGAGGGCAAGCTGAGGATGCTTTTTCCAGAACATGTTAACATTGAATGAAATTATAATTTGGGGGAAAAAACATCAAAGAAAAATAACCAAATTCTTTCAGAACTCAGGTAGAATGGCTGGGTTTGAAATTTGGCTGCAATTTCTAGAATGTTGTTCATGTTATTCCATGTGACTCAGCAAGGTTTCAAGCATAAAACATTTCAAATTGAGACAAAAATGTAACTGAAAAGAGGGGATGTGAAAGAACATTGGATTTGTGTATTTTTTAATATTTTTTTCAAACCAAATTATTTATTTGGATCTTGAAAACGTGTCTATTCTTTTTTAGAGAGGCATATTCAGAAGGGAAGAGCAATCCCACCCCAGCTAGTATTGAGTATTGTTCCTACCTGCTAATTAAGTGAAGGGATTGTCAGGGAGCCTGACAGACACATCCATAATCCCTACTTGAGAGTGTTTCAGCAGAGCTTTGTCCCTCATCCCATCACACACTCACATAACAAAATGGCTCTGTGGCATAATGACAGCCATGTGTCAGCGGGTCTGTGAGGAAGGAGATGGAGAAGGAAGATATTCCAGGCTTTCATGTTGGCACCCTCCCGATGAGTAATTCAGACAGTTTGGAGCCTCCTCATGGTCCTCGCCATCACCCCCATCTCTCTGTTCCCAGCAGCACATTTTGTCTCCTTCAGGAGTCACACCAGCCTCTCAAAGCTAAATGGTACATGATGTTAGATTAATTGGCTGAAAAAGCATCCCCAGAATGAAGGGAGGTGGGGAAGTTGCTTGTCAGAAGTGTCGTTCTGCCACACTGAAAATCATAGAAATGGGGAAAGGAAGGATCTGAGTGAAAATGAAGGATCCGGATGAAAAGGGATTGTAAATGAAAACAAAATTCTTGTTTGGAAGTGGCTGGCAGTGATGGGGAGGAAAAGGAGGGACCAGGGAAGGGAGGGAAAAGAAAGATACGGAGTTCTGGAGGTGTGTGATGGCTGTCACAAGCTCAGGGATCTGAGCAGGCATCCCCAGCCACTGCTGCCTCACACCAGTGGAGAGGAGCCCTCCCCTACCACAGGTAGGGATCAAATGGGTCAGGGATCAAATGAGGCCCTGGAAGTGCAGGATCCTGCAGTGGGGAGTGTGCTGAAAAGGAGATATGAAATGCTACAGCAGCCTAGGAGCTGATCCTGTGCTCCAGAACCAGGCACCCATCATGTGGACAATTTGCCCTGGATAAACTGTCCATTGGTGCTCTTGGATAAACCACTGGTGCCCTGGATAAACCACTGGTGACCCTGGATAAACCATTGGTACACTGTGATAAACTACTGCTGCCCTGGATAAGCCATTGGTGCTCTTGGATAAACCACTGGTGCCCTGGATAAACCATTGGTGCTCTGGATAAACCACTGTTGACCCTGGATAAACTATTGGTACCCCATGATAAACCATCCATTGGTACCCTGTGATAAACCATCCATTTGTGCCCTGGATAGACCATCCCCTGGTGCCAGCTAAGCACTGCAGCTCCTTCTGTAGCAGTGGTTGCATTCAGAGGTGTCTCCTGCTGCTTCTCATGGCTGGCCATAGATGAATCCATACGAAATCCTCTCCTCTCTGTTGTACTTCCATGGATGTTGCCAAAAGAGCTCTGCCCTCCTTGAAGCTGAGTTGAAAATGTTTGACTGCTGCCTTGCAATATCACAGTCACCAGAATGATTTGATGGTCTCCTTGCTAACAGTCCAAACTCTTCCATAAACTTGGAGTTCAGTTCTTCCTCACGAAGGTTTTAAAGCCCGACATATTCCTGAGGTCTACTTTTCTTTCTTGTTTTTTCTTTTTTTTTTTTTTTCCTGTTAAACCCTTCATATCACCATGTTCTCCATGTGCTGGGGCCTCCCCTGTGTTGCCAAATTTCTTCTTCCTCTGCTTTCCACCCATGCAATTTCTCCTTAGTGTCAACAAGGAATCCGTAGAACTGCTGTATTAATTTATTTTTTTTTTTTTTTGAGTTTTAATTTCTTCTACGCTTTACACATGCAGAATGTTTTTGATAAAACCCACTGCAAGGACTATTTTGGTTACTGGTTTTCAAGAGAGATTTAAATACCTGTGGTAACAAAAATCTGAGATTCCCTTCATGGGAATTCTGGGCTTGTTTTGATACTTGCAATATTGATATTCTGTAGAAATATGTTTTCTCATTCATTCTGACTGACATTGGCAGACGTGAAGCTCCTATGCAATAATTAAGACTATTTCTATATGAAAGCTAATTTTTCTTGTAGCCTGCATTTGGTGTTCAAAAAGAAATTTTGGGTTTTTTAAAATCTTAATTTCATGCCAAATATTTCATGCTGAAATACAACAGATGAAGCAAAATTACTTCTTTCATTCAGCTCTGCAGCTGATTTTCCTCCCTATATAGGGACCAGGTGCTGACTTCATAGGTAATAACATCCAATAATGCCAACAAATAGGAGCTGCCTATTGGAGAGGAAAAATAAAAGCAAAAATATTCCAGTGGGAAGGACAAAGATGGACTGAGAGCTTGGAGGAACTATTGAAAACACTTCTCTGGAGGGTCTCAAATAGAGGTTAAATAAATGTTTCATTTTAGCTCCATTAGAGTTTGTGTTGGGACTAAAGGAGAAATTACTGGCCTCATGCTCACATTTTTTGCACATCTAAGATAAACAGACCACAGTGGCAGGAGAAAGAGAAATTAGCTTCTCCCAGGATGTGAGATCAAGGTGAAGCTCCCTTCCTACCTTAGTACCAAGTCACAGATGCCTCTTTGTTCTGTCACATTGCTACAACATCTCACAAGGAGATCTGTCATTTAAAAAAAAAAACCCGAAAAGACAAACAAGCAGCAGTGTTTGCAAACTGAGACGGGCACATTAAATCATCTTTGGGATGGATTTCTCCCTGTGCTTTTTGTTGACCATTTGTTTTCTTTAATTGGAGCATGAAAGAACTGAGCATGTCCAATGCAACTTCCCTATGCTAAGTACCACCTGTCAGGGAAATAAAGACACTCTATCAGTCACTTTTCCTTGGAGATTGTAAGTTTTTCAGAAAGACATGCTGGCACACACCCACGCTGCTCCCCCCCCACTGCAATCCCTTCCCATCCAGACTGCAGTGTGACTAGGAGCAGGAAAAACACAGAAAATCCATCCATCTCAATGGTATTTCACATCTAAGACTTAACCCACAAATAATGACTTACCCCTGGCACCTTCCAGGTAAGTGGACTCAATTTTAGAACACTTTCAGCAGTAACACCTGAATAAAAGGGCAGTAGCTATAAATAAATCGGGATCGAAGATATTATTAGAGGATGTTATTAGAAAGACAAAGGTAGATTAAGTGGAAGGGACAAAAAAAATACCAGCCCAGCCACTCCAGCATAAACAAAATAGAGTAAAATTAGAGCTGGCTGTAGGCAGAGCTCTGGATGACTGGGGAGTGCATTTGCAGCCTGCTGAGCAAAGGCAATTCTGCCCCCACACTGACGCACAGCAGATTTGGATTAATTTCAGTCCAGACAGGTAGTGCAGCTGCAGCTTGGGGCTGATAGCTCAGTGGAAAGGCAAACCAGAGGGCTGATGCAGACCTGAGTATTCTGCACCTGCTGGGTAACAGAGATATAAATGCTGGAAAAGGGGCGGCCAAAATGCATCTCTTAACAGCGCACAGCGTCGGAGCAGTTTTAGCACAGCTTCCACAACCAGGGGTGGGATGGGAAGCTGCTGTGAGGACCAAGGCAGCAATCAGTATTCCCTGTCTTTGAGCTTCAAAGGGAAGCTATAGGATTTCTTGGGAGGATCAGTTGGATAGACAACTCTAGGTGTGGGTTAGTTTGGGTCTGTCCTCCCTTGGTTGTGGTTGAGGTGACATTTTCAAGGTGCCCTCTGGATTTGGGTGGTGTCTATGCTTGGACAGGGCTGCTGGACACCCTGAGCCCTTACCTGGGGAGGGAAGGGAAGCACCACGGCCTGTGGAGTCTGCCAGGAGGGTTTGGGGCTCTCAGCTATGCAGAGGTTGGAGTAAATCCAACATCCACCCACCTGGGGAGGTTGGTGTCATCATCTCTGCATACAAACTGCTCCCAGGATCTCCTGTCACTCCAGATCCCCAGGGCTTGCAGCACATTTGCAGCTTGTGCCCAAACGAGCTCTTTGTCTTCCTCAGTTTGTGCCAGCATTATTTTTGTTCTTATGATTAAGGTCCAGCCACAAATCTGTTCAGAGCTTCATTGTATTTGCTGTTTGCCATTGTTCAGTAGTTTTATTCCATTTTAAGATTTAAAGAAATAGAAATCCTTATGGTCAATGTCCCTTGACTAAAGAACTTTTTCCATGAAAACCAGCAAGTCTCTTTGAAATGTGTTTGTGTGACACGCCAGAAGACTTCTTCTGTGAAGAACAGCGAATGGGAATAAATATGGTAATGCAGAAATATGTAGGGGCATAAGACAAAAGGAACTCTGGAAACTTGGAAACTCTGACTGAAGAGTTTCCTCCACCAAGGAAGTGAGAAGAGTTGTGTTGAACATAATTTAAAGGAGATTACTAATTTTTTTTTAACAAAGAAAAACTTTTCTTTAAAGTTTATTGCCAGAAAAATGAATTTTTGGACAGCACTTTGTACCCTATAGGTCAGCTGCTAAAAATATGTATCTTAAAGGTGAACTTTCCTTTTGGTTTTATACAGTGGCACAACCAATCACAGCAAATGTTAGCCACAAAGTACTGAATCCCACAGAACCCAGACAGCTCAATGCTTTGCGAAGTGAAAGGAAAAGAAATCCTCAAGTATATTGGCAACAAAACTTTTTTTAACCTTTCTTATCCATTTTTCTTAGGACATCTGCAATGTTCCATGTCTTTCTGACCTTTCAAATCTGTAGGGAGTACAAAAGGAGGAGGAGGGACAGCTGACATTGTGACCAGTGCTTCCGACTCTGTCACCTCTTTGCTCTTCTTATTTATGTCCCTGTCAGAAATAGTGTTGCAAAGCCCTTCCAAAGAGCCCTTTTATTGAAAGATTTTAAAATATTTTCAAAAAGCTGAACTATCAGAGCTCTGAGAATATAGGCATCTTCATGGAAAACACCTTTAGTTACCTCTACCAATTTTTTTGTATGGCATCATTCAGGTAGCTTGTATCACAACAAATGAGGTACCAATTTGAGAACATATATATTTAATCGTAAAATTGATTTTTTTAATCTGCTTTTCTGACTGTAAAGATACTATTCTTTGCATTGTACTTTTTTTGATAAACATCAGCCTCCATGGAGTGTTCTCACCAATGATCTGATTGGTTTGTCCAATGATTTGCAGCAGAATCCATGGGTTCCCAGTCAGAAGTAGGGAAACCCTGAATAGGTTTTCCTATTCCTAAGCAGGAATAGGGTCAAAATCATGATTAGGGGAAATACAGCTGTGAGTGAGGTGTTTCCCTTAGCCATTGGGCAGGTTTTTTCTGTTGCTTTTGGTCCTCTGGGAGGGGATTTGTCCTCAGCAGTCAGGCTGGCTGGAGCTGTGTGTTTTCAGGGACAGCATTCGTGCAAGGTGCTGCTGAGCCAGCTTTCCTTTAACCTGGCATAAACCAGGCCTGTTAGAGAAAGCTGCTGCAAGCTTAAATCAAGAGAAAAGCAGGCAGGATAGAGCTGTAAATGAGCCTGGGTCACAGGCTAGTAGCTGTAAGGAAATTTTTACAGTGCTGCTAAAAATCCATTATACACAGTCATGCAGAGAAGTGGTTGCATTTACGTGCAGGTGCAGTCTCTGTCAGGAATATCTAAATGTTCTCTGTACAGGGGCTGAAAACCCTTACAGAGCAGTTGGACATGGGAGAAAATAACTCTTTCTCACTCAATCTCCTTTTAAAATCTTTTCTATTAATCTTGAATTTATTCTCAAAGCTCCTACCCTCTCTCATATACAGAAGAGACCAAAAGAATGGTAAATAGGCTCATACAACACTCATATCCAGTGAAATATTTGTGTTAGCCTATATATGAACTTATTTATCTAAGTAAAATAAATAGACATTTGTTTATTTTTCAGGCAGGAGAAAATAGAACATGAATATATTTAGTTAGCTGAGTTCAGGAAGGAGTCATCTATGGTCTTTTATAAACTATTGAGAGAAAAGAGATGCAAATAAGAGATTCCTGTCTTTTGATTGAAAGGGCATCCCAGTAATAGGGGAGATAACTGAATATGATAAACTCAACCATGCTTAGCAAGTGCTTTGAAAATGGTGTGGAGCTGTGTAATTATGAAATTTAGAGCTAAAATCAGCATATGGACATTGTATCTTTGAAAGCACAGTCTTGGGCACTGTATATGAGATTCCAATTGTCAAAACTATGGTAATTCAATGAATTGAATTAATTGAAGGGCATTTCAGCAAGTATGCTATAACACTCTATTAAATGAATAAATTTCTTTCACATAAAAGCTGTGTTTGTTTTGAGCTGTTCAATTTGAGCACTGCACAATTAACACCTGAAATGTTTTTGGGTCATCTCAGCTGAGAACAAAATTGGCCAAGAGAAAGTTTTTGGCCTCACTGGTAGCTGTCACATTAGAATTTCTGTGACTTGGAGCACCAGTGCTTGGGCTGGGATGAAAGGCTGAAAAGGCTGTGGATTTCTGTCATTCTCTGGAAGGTTTAAACATTATAATCACGTTGTGCTCCTCTGAGACTTTGGCTGCAAAAGTAGAGTTTGAGGGATCCTTTTGTTCCATCCCATTCCTGCTGTGTAAGGGAGGGCTCTCTAGCTGCGCTTGGAAATGGCTCTGGAAAGTGTCCAGAAGAGCCAGAGGGGAAAGCACAGCTTGTCTGCTGAAGGGCACCACGCACAGGTGCTGAGAGGACTCTTGTTTGCTGAACTGGTTTGATACGACTCCAAATCTATGCTGGGGGAAATAAACATGAACACCACATGCACTCCACTTCCCACCAAGTGTTATGTGACTGTATCACCCATATTTTTGATTTTTGCAAGGTTTACTGATGTCCTTGTATTCCACACCCAGCTGTCCCTCTTGCCCCCTCTAAAAGGCATCACAGCCCTTGGTGCAGCAGAAGCTTGTGGAGCAGTCTGTACATTTCAGAGTTGACAACCCCATCAGAAATTTCCATGATACCATGACAGCAGTTTTCTGATCTCATTTAAATTACAGAATTACTTCCTGTTTTGAAAGAAAACTGGAAAGGACATGGTTCTGGAGGTGGATTGGTCTGGTTCAGCTTGTTAGAGAGACAGCTTTGGGAGTGGGCTGTTCAAAGCCACTTCCAGGCAGCTTCACTTGACTACAGAGTAGTCTGGGCCCAGGTTCTGACTCATGGGAAGATGCTTTTTCCTATCCTGCTGGGTCTTGAATTGAAAATACAAATGACTCCAGAGCCTGTCCCAGACCCTAATTTTGGTTGATGTAGTAACAGGTGTGTACCTATGCTGTACAGTAAAGAGGTCTGAATTAAGAATTGGACAATGGAGGGAAATTTTGGCCAAGCTCTCACAGTTAGTCACAGGATGAGTACATAAGCTGCTAGATTCAACTCAAGAGAAAACAGGATATGAATGACTAGACAAAAATGTTACACCCACTCCCTGTCAAGACCATAAATCTGGTCCTAGAAATTGGAATCAAAATCTACCAGTCCAGGCTCAAAATCCACTCAAGCATTCTTCCAATTGAGTGATGAGTGTCTGTTGTTTAATATAATGAGTTGAGGAATATTGCTTGCGCTGGTAAGTGGGATATTGAAGGTTGGAATAAGGATTTAGAACCTGTCTGAACCCTCTTAGAAGATTTGAGTCGATGAAAATGTTGTTTGGTGTTTATCCAAGGATAAGAACATACAAGAGCTCTTTGCACATTGTATGTACCTTGAGGCAAATTATTCACTGACACAAAATATGGGATCTCTAGTGCTGTTTTCACTGTTGCATGATATAGTGAAATCCATCATCTCTTTAATGAAGATAGAAGTACTGCAGAACTCCTTGATTTCAGCCTGGCTTTACCAAACTCATACTCTGTAGCTTAAACTCATGGTCCAAAACTTAACAGCATTAGAGGGACACAATTCATTACTTTGTGGGAGCAGGTCTGTTCACAGACTTTGATTTTTGTCTCATCAGTCTTTTGCAAATAGGTTCTTCAGCCCCACATTGCATAAATCTGTACACAGAAACTGTATAACTATATCTGTATATCAATATCAGATATTGATATAGGATAGGATGGAAAGGATTAAACTGTGTGGGCAAAGCTCCTTTGTCTGACCAAAAAAAAAAAAAAAAAAAAAAAAAACCCCCCAAAACAACAAAAAACCTGAAATGAATAAAAGAGGGTAAATTAGTTGAATAATTTAATTTCGGTGTTGTTTTATCTTCCAAACTGCATTGAGCTTAAGCCCAGCTCTTGGAGGATTTTCAGTGTTTTATTAATCTTTCACATTGGCAATCTTAGGGAAAGTAGTACCCCAATGTTTACCCCAAAGCAAAAAAATATCACTTTTTAGGGTCAATCTTTAAAATCTTCTTTGGAATCCTTGCATGACTATTGAAAAGAGAACAGAGAGGGGATCAGCTCTTTCTAACTAGGGCTGGTAGATGGCTCCAGGTGCCATCACATCCCTGGGACACAAAGCCAGGAAGCAGCTGAAGAAGTGATGTTGTTTTGGGTTGTGTTGTCACAACACCACAGGCAAGAGCTGGTCACTGATGTGAGGCTGCTTATGCCAACCCTGTATTGCTGTCCTGGGAAATAACATGACAGAATAATTTAACACAGCCATTTTACAACCAGCAAGGTGGAAACAGTGCAGTGGGGAGGGCTGAGGGGAGATGAGAGCTAAAGTGTTTCAGATTATCCTATGGAGAATAAGTGTGTTTGATATACTATTCACACTGTCTCATATGAAAGTTTAATGTCTTGGGGGTGCCAGCTCTGCACAGATCTGTGACTGTAATCAAGCCACAAGCAATGGCTGTGTGAAAGATCTTGGAACCAAGTTTCTTGGCATCTCCAATGGATGTGTTGCAAAGATATGACCCATTTTTCAGTCACTGGTTTGTATTTGATAACCATGAAGCCCTACAGAGTAGAGAGGGAAAAGAAATGAGGTTGCCTGAGCTGAAAGAAATGGCTGAGTGAACCAAATCATTGTGAGGTTTTATATTATGATCGCCTCTCTCTGGAAAACTCTGCCAAGTCTAAAATAATTTCCATAATAGTGCGCATTGCTGATATAAAACAGATAGAGAATGCAGCATTTCTTTTCAAATTTTCAACTTGCAACTTCTTTCAACTTCTACAATACATCAAATTCCTTTCAGGATATAATTACAACCTGTTTATCAGTAACAAAAAATGCCCTTTTGGGGTACTTCCTATCAGCAGCTGAAGCAGAGATAAGTTTTCTAATGAACCATTCAGTACAAGCACTTTGAAACTACCCATTAGCTGACAGATTTTACCTGCAACAGACCTGAGTATCCTCTCAACTGCTTTTTTTCACCTTTTTTTTTTCCATTCTAAATTGATTTCAGTGGCATTTCTTGACTCTTGTTGGCAGGAATGGAGATATTTACCATCTGTTCAAATGCACATTGGCCATGGTAAAAAATTCAGACAATTCCCCAAGCAATGGGCGTGAGGGGGCAACGAATACTGGCTGCTGGCTCTGCCTGCAGCTCAGGTGGAGGCAGAGGACAATGCAGTCAGGTGAGGTGTTGGCACTGAACTCATGAACAGAACACCTCTCCCGGGTGGATCCAGCAAAAATGAAGCTGTGAAAATTTTAATGACCAGATCAGAAGGTATTTGGTTTTGCCTTAAACTGCTTTATTCTATTTGTTTTGATGTCTGCGGTGTTCAGCAGGTGTTTCTGGGGAGGTATAGGACAGAGTAAAAATGAAAGGAAATTTCTGCATGGGAATGAGCTTCAGAAGCTGTAAGACCATGCCAGAGCAGCTCATAGTGCTGTGCTTAAGATGCATTGCTCAGGGAGAGCTGTAAGAAAACACATCAACTCTTTGGAGTGTTTAGCTGAACAACCTGCTCCTTGCTGCAGTCTTCCAGCAGTTGACTTTGCCCATGAAGGGAGGCTGTGTTTTGGTTGGGCTCCCAGCAAGCAATTTCCAGACAAACCCATCACAGTCGGGGAACCTGAGTCAGGATTTGCTCGTGGAGGTGCCCACGCTGTTTAGAGCTGTATTTGCAAGTGCAGGTGGGGAATTTAGAAGGTTGCTGCTGGGAGGAGTGAGTTTCTCCCAGTGGTGTTCCTGCTACAGAAATGACGACTGCTGCCTGTGCCTTTTGTGTAGCAGAGTCTCAGATTAAGTCTCTGCCACTCATGGTGTATTTGCTTTGTGTTTTGCAGAACTTTCCATCTGGAGTCACACAGTATGTTTGTTCCCCATAGCATGAAAGCATGGCATCTTATTGCTTTTCCCTGGAGCAGAGTAACACATTCATTTTTAATTGTTGACCACTCCATCAGAAATCCTATTTCCCAGAGTTTAATTGTTTTGCATGATGTTTAATTCATGGCTTCCCTACAGAAATCAGCTGTTAACCTTTAAAAAAAAAATAAATGTATTATTTAGTATTTATTTATTATTTAGCTATAACATTTTTAATTGTACAGGATTATATAATTTATTTATATTTTCACAATAAAATTCCATGTCTCAGCGGTCCCTCTCCCTTCCCCCTTTTTTGACTCACAATTTTGAACAATAAAACTGAAGAAATATTACCATAAAGGTTTAAAGTACCAGGTTTTGACACAAGATGTTCTTATACAGGACAACACTGCAGACACATTTGAATCATCCAGGAAGTGCTAAGCCAATGCTTAAGAGCTTTTGGAAATCAGGGCATAGGTGAAAATATTTTTCTTTCTTTCTGAATATATTTTCTTCCATGTTCTTACAAATGAGCTGCCCTACAGAAAAGTTCAGTGGCAAAACTGAAGCCAAAGTTTCAGAGGATTTGTAGAAACAAGAATTCAGAGTTTCTGCCAGCGACCTGATGCGACTGGTGATATTCATCCAGCCAGGGGACCGTGCCATACAGAATGTGTCTAGCTGAGTTTCACACACAGAAAAGTGCCTTTGGAAGCATTCCAGGACAATAATTATTGGATACCAGGGAGCTGCAAATAAGTGCTAAGAAATGAGGAAGCACAGCATCAGAACATCACCCCTTCTGGCTGCCTGGAATGCCCTTTCCTTTGGCTGCAATGCCAAAATCTCCATCTTTTCTTTCTGGCTCTCAACAAATGCAAAGCAGGATGAAAGGATTGGGTGCTGGGAGATATTTTGTAGTGTGCCCAAGACTTAAAGCTCCTTCCAAACCCAGAGACCAGGCAGAGGCTGTAGGAGTCCCACTTTCAGCAGAGCAAAGCTCTCCCATGATGTACAGCCAAAATTCAGCTGCCCCCACAGGGTCCAGCCACTCAGACAGAGATCCAGGGATGGATTTCAGCACAGGGGGTGCGTTTGGAAGGTTCATATCAGCAACATATTCCTTACCTTCTGTGTTCAGACTTTTACATAAATGGAAATATATATTTTTGATTGATAGGGCTAAGATGCCAGCATTTATTTTTCTTATTTCCAAGCCAGGATGGATGTTTCTTTGTAAGCACTGGACTTCCCCTGTGGCTAATCCTCATCCATTCCATCTCTTTACAAATGGAAATGGATTTACAAATTATCTCCCCTGTTATCCCCACCCACATAGGGAGACATCATTGTTATTGTTTCCCTGCTCTGAGCGGGTGCTGTAGTGTCAGTGCATCATCAGGGGAGGAAGTGCTACATCTGGGCAAAAATAAGTTTACAGTGGAAGAATCACAAAGCTTTTAATGGTGAAACTAGAAAGCAGAGTAAAGCCTTTTGCTGAGTGTGCTTGGTTGAAAAACAAAATTTCCATCAAATCCTGTGGGAGCAGAGCAGCACTTCCTTTCCTAATTTTTAATATAAACCTTGGCAGTGATGAAGACTGAATGGATAAAGCAATGACAGGAAAACTCCAATTCAGTAGAAAACAGGAAAGAAAAACAACTACAGCAAAAACCCAGGTCATTTCTAAGAGACTGGATATCTGATACAGCTGCTGCTCTTTCAAGAACTACTTAAAAGCATTTTTGACTATTTTTCTCTGGAAAATACTTCAATCAGCATATATACAAAAAAAGCCTTTCTTCTCTCTTTCACTTTCTTCTTTCTTTCTTGCTTCTACCGCAATGTAAATTCTACTGCAAAGGAAGAAAAAAAAAATCTGTATAGGACAAATGACTCTCACTTCAAGCAAATATTGCCATAAGTAATTATGCTTCTCTCTGTTCTTGTTTCAGACATACTGATGTTACGAATGAATTAACCAAGGAACAAAATGCTTCACTGCCAACTGAGAGCTAAGCCTTGAAGTTTAGTGCTACTACTGCTAACATATTTCAGTTGGATCTCAAACCATGGTATGAAGAGGAACTGATACCAGCGAAGGAGACGCATTTCTTGTCAAGAAAGAGTCTCACGATTCCTTTGCTCCAAGGAAATTTGAATAAAGGAACACTTTGTTTGGAAATGTGCCTATTCTACTTGGACAGAGTTAAAAAATGAGTCGAGGAAAGCAAACAGAGCTAGAAAACATTGCAAAGAAAACTGTACTTTTGTAACTAAAAATTCAAGTTTTTAAAATTTCCCATGGGACTTTTTGACCATCCATCCTTACTGGGACATTACTTTTGCACTTTACCCCTGAAACTCTTGCAGGACAAGGAGTTTGTTGTGCTTGAATGGTATGGATCTGCTTGTGCTTTCCAGTGGCTCCCTTGGTGATTATTGAGATGTTTGTGCCTTGGGGCTGGAGCACTTGCATGACAGCACTTCTAGGCTGGAGCTCATTCAGGTGCTGGTTCTGCCATAGATTTTGGGTATGGCACGGACCCCAAATTCCTGGGTCTGTGCCACTTCACAGCCCAGGGGCTCTTGGGTTGTGCTTATGGTCCCTGTGGAGTTCTGTGGGTAACAGTTGTTCTGCTTTAAAAATGATGATGGGAGCAGTTTGACGTAGCAAGGAGCTGCAGAACAGATCAGGATCCTCTGACAAAAATTTGTGGGCAGAGGAGAGGTTGGTGTTTGCTGCATGAGCTGTCTGTGGTCACTGCTCTTGTCTTCTGTTATTGCAGGCAGCTACGTGTCAGGTTTTACCTTCAGCATCCCCGCCTGCCTGAGTTGTGCGCATACACTTATTAAATGATGGTGTGCATTTGTACTCAGACTATTATAAATCCATTACTTCCCTGAGGCCAGAGGAAATGGTTTTAAATTGTGAGGTTTTTCTACAGAGCACCGAGAGATAAAAATACTAAAGTTCTGTGCTTGGCTTGAGCAGATCAATGTAGTACAATACTGGGAAGACAAACCAAGCTTAAAATATTACAAATGTGATTGCATGAAAGCTTAACTTGACATTGAGCAATTATCTCTACAAAAGTCTTCTAAACCACCCTAAGAAAAAACAAAACCAAAACCAAAACCAAGCAAAGAGCCTGGCAGTAAATCATAAAAGAGAAATAACAGTGTGTATTCTTGGAACGAAAGTCTGAGTAATATAATTGCACAGTAGTGAGTGAAACTTCAAATTTGTCCTTCACTTTTTCAACACAATGGAGAAGTGTAGATGAAAAGTCTTGGGATGGGAGATATCAAGAGGTTTTGAAAATTATTTTTCCACCAGACATTTCATCAAGATTTTTTTCCTTCATCTATAACTTTGTTTCTCCACTCAAAATTTCACAAAGACTTTTTTTCTTAATTGCTAACTTTGTTTCTCCGTCAGGAGAAACTAATTGTTTGGAACAATTAGTTCCAAACCTGACAATTGCTATTTGTGACAGGAGCAATGAAGAAAAAGAGAACAAGGCAAACTTTCAAACAAGACTTGCAACTAGTAATTAAAGTTCCTACCAAGTTCAGAAGCTGGTGCTAGGTTGAACTAAGGCACAATCATTATCCAGTGAGAAATAAGCTGTACCTGCATTTTCAGGACAATAGGATAATATTTCATCCCACGACAGTCATGATGTACCGGTTATTGAATCTTCCCTTTTTTTTCATGAACTTATATTAGGTAGAAAATAAATACTAATGAAATGTTCCCTTTCCTGAAGCACTGAGCCACTTTTACGAATAATTTTTTGGGGGAGGAGTAGGAAGTAAGTTTGTATCTTAGAGTTCTGTCATTATTTCACTTGAACAGATGGAAGCTCAGCCACTTGTGATTGAATCACTAAAATGAGAGGACATCACTGAAATGATGGTCACTCATTTACTCATTTACTCACTCCATGTGAATAAAATTAGCAGTGGATAGTGATGGCTGTGAGTTTCCTGAAAAGAGAAAATCAGCCTTTCCCAAAACTCCAGATATCCTCACACTGCATGTGTTCATGGCCAGGGAGCTCTGATTCTCCATTTCCACCTGGGATACATTCCTGAGCTGTCTGGTATGCAGAAATATGCAAATCCCTTGATATCTAAATTGTTCCCCAGTGTATGCATGAAGAAGTTCTTTCTCTAAATATTACAGGTACCTAACCCAGAACTCTACAGCAAGAACAGTCAAACAGATTACCCTAAATAATTCTAACATGTGGGACCATCAGCTATGGGACCCTGAACATTTCTGTATTCTCAGCATGGAAAGTGTGTTCCTGGGTTGGAGCACATTAGTAGCTGCATAAATCCATTTGGAATCTACAAGTGTTGGATTCAGGTTCCTGTCTTAGAGTGGGGTGAAACTCAGAGTCTGAAAGTGTCCAGTTCTCTTTGCTGTTAAACAATGTCAGCTATTTCAGGTGCTGTCTGAGAGAGCGGCCAACATCTCCACTGTCCCTGGGTGTTGAAGAATGCAGCTACTTTGCAAAGCACAAAAATGTAGTTAAAATAAAAAAAATCTGCCAAACCTATGAAATACTATTCACTTACATCTTCAATCAGCTTCTCAGTGCTCCATTTCTAATTATTTGCCATCTGGTGCAGCCCCTTCTCTTCCAAAGCAATGTGGAATATTCTTCTGGAGCAGGCACACACAGCAGTGCCGCCTGAACATTAACTGCTTCTGACTGGTGATCCTGGGGAGCCTGATTGTTTGAGGCAAATCTCCTCCCCAGGGACAGCAGGATTTATTCCCTGCATCTGGGCAGCAAGTTTTTTTGTTGGGGGAAAAAAAAATGCTTCCGTGTCATTTATAATGGATTTCATTCCAATAAACAGCCATCTTCTGGCTTATTATGACTGTGGCTTATCAAATAATAAACCCCTGTCACTCTGAATTGCTGGCAGTGGGACCAATGCAGCCAGAGCTGATTTTGGTGTGCACTTTGTCATGCCATGAAATCTGCAGTGGTTTGGGACTGTGGGAGTCAGGGCTGGCAGCAGGGAAGGACCTCCCTGTGCCCCAGGGAAGCTGCAGGGGGAAGGGGGTGTTTCCTCAGCCTCTGGTCCTTTGTACACCATCCCACTTTAGTGCTGCCCAATGTGATCATTAGGGATGATCACAAAGCCATATGGCCAAACAAATGCACATATCTCGGCATGTTGGCAGAATGAGTCCTTGTTAATTCTGTCTCTTTCTCCACCCTCTGCCTGGGAGAGAGGATAGTGAGGAGGCTGGTTTTACTGTGCTGAAGAGATGACAGACTTGATAACTTTAGCATGGAGCATTTCCAGAGCTTAACAATGAACAGCACAAGCTTTCTGAGGGGAGAAAAAAATAGGCACTGATTTTCAAATGCATCAGCAGGTTGCAAAAAAAATGTGCTGATTAGCCATTTTTATATTTGACTTGGGATGGTTGGGACATGGGAGATCTCAATTTAATTTCTATCCCTGCAACATTTTCCCTACGTGACCCTAGAGTAGCTTTTAATTTCTTTGTGCTTGGATTCCCCCTCTTTCATCCTGGGACAGGACGTGGGTCTTGGTACACATATTTTTACATGACACACGCGGGTTGGGGTTGGGAAGGGGTGGATTTTGTTCATAGTCGCTGGTGTGTTTTGGATTTGTGATAATTCAGGGATGTTTCCATGATGGTCAGGCAGGGCTAACACAGAGCCCAGACCTTTTCTGCTCCTCACCCCAGTTCAGGAGGCTGGGGGTGCACGGGGAGCTGCGAGGGGACACAGCCAGGAGAGCTGATCCCAACTGAGCCCAGGGATACCCCAGGCCATGTGCTGTCATGCTCAGAGTATAAAGCTGGGGGAAAAAAGCAGAAAAGGGAGGACATTCAGAGTCATGGCTCCATGGGATGGAGCCCAGCTTGCCTGGGAATGCTGAACACCTGCCTGCCCAAGGGAAGTGGTCAACGGATTCCTTGTTCTGCTTTGCATGTGTGCACAGCTTTTGCTTTACCTATTTAAACTCAATAAATTCAGGTATTTTTTATTTCAAGGTGGATGCTTTCTCAGACACCCAGAGCTGATGACAGCTGGTTATCTAAGGATTATCTAATGGGACCATCCAGTGGTACTGGACTTGTCTGGCCTTGCTGCTGGCTTCCTCCCATGGCAGGGTTTGTCCAGCAGCACCCCTGTCAGCACTGCCTGTTATCCATGGCAAGGCATAGCCTGAAACCCCAGTGTTTCTTTCTGTGACCAAAAGTGATAGAGTGCCCATAAATATTTTTCCATAATATTTTTGAAAATTCAGCTTTCAGACATACTGGTAAATTTTCCACAAGACTTTTTATTTTCCTGTTGTTATTCTCAACATGTTAAATGAATCAGGTCTAATTTATGGTGATTCTTGATCTGCTGAAACCGCTGTGCTCATCTCTGTTGTCAGGTCCAGGGCTTGAATGTGTTCTTTCCACAGACCTCAAGTGCCTGCAGGAGTGCAACTCTTACACCCATCCATGTCCTCAGTAGTAGAACAGATGATTAAATTTGAGCAAACCTCCAATTTGAAACAGACCCCACAGAAAAGAATAAAAATGTCATCATCAGCAGGAGTAAACTACTCTCTCAAATAACAACAACAGAGTCTTAAAGCAAAGGTTGGCTGTGTCTATATAGAGAAAATACTTAGTGTCTGTGTGATATACAAGGCAGCTTATCTCTTTGAGAGCAGGAGACTATAAAAACACAATTGCCAGAACGAAAGAAAATTGAAGCTGATTGCCATAGCAACAAAAGAATTACATTGATGAAACAGAAGCACATAAAATCCTTGTATGCTACATTAAAGACAAAGCAATCAAAAGTAAACAAGAGAGGATTGAAATTTGCTTGGCTAAAGCTGAAAATGACAAATGTTAGCAGGTGATAGAGGCAGAAATGAGCCCACGAGAAAGGAAAGGGCATCCCTGAGGAGCTGGGGATTTATTCCCCATTTCCTCCACGAGCAGGACAACAGGAACCTGGGAATGCAGCCACGGGCACTTCCCAGGCTGTGAAGGCAGCCTGTGGGAGCAAATTCCCCATCAGAGGGTCAGTAACAGCAGCTCTCAGCTGTGCCTTTTGCACTGATCTCCATTACTTTCTTCCCAATTCTCCTGTAGAACTGGGTGAAACAAGCTGCTGTTGGAAAAAAGGAAGTTTTCTTTTACCACCTGCATCTGTTGAAACATCTTGTTTAGACTGGCACCTACTTGTCCATGAAAATACACTTCTGCCCTTTTGGCAGCATGGCACAATGACACTGCAGCAGAGCCAGCAGCCTTCCAGAGAGCACAGGAGAAGCCACAATTTCTACCCCACAACATAAATCTGACAGTTTTCTGATGTGAGGGGTGAGGGGGGTTGAGGACCCAGACCTCAGCACCTCCTACAGCATCCAAACTGTCGTAGCAGATGCAGGGCTATGCTGTGCCTCCTTGTGAGGCTCTGTGCCCCTGTTTGGGGATGGATTATTGCAATCCTGAGGGCTGCTCTCACCTCCAGAGCCACTCCCACATGCAGCTGGTTGGATGAATTTACCTGGAGCACAAGCAGCATAAATCTCAGAGGTGTCACCCTAGAAAAGGAGGATGCTTCTCTGTGCATCCCTGTCCACACATGAACAGCCATCCTCATTTTTTGGAGAGGGTGCCAGTGTTATCCTAGGTGAATCCATTTGGAGGAATTGTCTATTTGTCATGGTCTATTTGTCATGGCTTAGTCTGGAGGAGTAAAAAAAAAAAAATAGGAAGTATTAAATAAAAGATCTTTCCTGAATGCAGCTATAATTAAAATGTTAATATTCCTTATCATAACAAAGCCTTGAGATCAG